TAAAATAATTATGACGATGTATTATGTTTACAGTACTTTTTTAACAAAAATTATTAAAGCCTATTAACTTATTTTTTCCACAATTTGCTTTGAGTCACGACACCGGGTGATTGTGATTTAGTTATGACTTACATGTACTTACTTACAAACATTAATATATAATATAACATAAACTACAACACATATATATATGTATTTATGGTAGAACAATTACTAATTTATTTTTGAAAAACAATCTTCATGTATCACTTAAAAAAAAAACAACTTTTAATTGTTCTTCAATAGTTGCTGAATGCATATTAATTTAGAAATTCTAACAATTTAAGCATCGGTACTTGCAATATTCTTAAATACCTACACTGTATTGTTATCTTTTTATAATGTCACGTCAGTAAATAAACTTTATTTTGGTTGTCAACCAATTTAAAATTGGGAGTTTTATTTGAGAAATGTGGAACTCTTTACAATTCAAAAGGTTTGTTCATGACCATTATATACCGGCAGTATGTTTTAATTCCATACAAAAACTGGGTGTGGTTGGTTTAATAAATTAATAACAAATATTGCAATTTAATGACCAGGTCACTGGTGAATGGATTGTTTAAGACAAACCCTGTTGGTTACTGTTTTGGCCGAGTTGAATTATAAAGACAACTTTACCATTCACATTGATACAGAAAAAAAACCAAAGATAAATCCACCAAGTGTGACTCAGCCTTAAGAGTGTTCACACACACTGTACAAGTAATTAATCAGTACTTTTAATCAATAAAATTTATCTTTAAATTGTTTCTTTAAAATAGTCTGTCTGGTTTGGCCAATATACGAAAAACTGTGTACACACATTTACTATGTTACCTGAACTTTCAGGGTTAATTTACCTAAACATGTTTTCAAATAAAATCTGAAGTGCTATTAGGTGCTTCAAAGGAACTCTGCTTATACTGTCCAAGACATGATTCAAACTATTTTAAAGGGATACAAACGTGTCAATATCCATAATTATGTAAGTTACAAGCAAGCAACATGCTGATCTTATCAGTGGCCTTACAGCTGACCTCATTTCTAAAACGACCATTTGCCAATTGAACAATTTTACAAACCCATTGACTGATTTTCATTTAACGAATAATCATTTGCAAGTAAAATGTGCTCTATGGAAAACAAACACCTACTTCTTGATACCCAATATCAACCTGCAATGGCCACCGCAAGGCCGACAATGGATAGGGAGTCTCTGAACTGACTCCAGCCTGTACCAAGTACCAATATCACTTCTCAAACAGTCAAATAAACCTGCAATGGCCGCCTCAAGGCCGACAATGGATAGGGAGTCTCTGAACTGACTCCAGCCTGTACCAAGTACCACTTCTCAAACAGTCAAATAAACCTGCAATGGCCGCCTCAAGGCCGACAATGGGTAGGGAGTCTCTGAACTGACTCCAGCCAATATCACTTCTCAAACAGTCAAATATAAGCCTATTCCTCAGCAAAAGCAAGGCTTCCTCAGCAAAAGCAAGGCTTCCTCACAGCAATCCAAATAACGGATGTGTCACATTATACCATATTCAAGCTATTCAAGTTATATCTAAGGGATAAGAGGGTTGAATACACATAGTTTTGGCCTTTAAATACCCAATAAAAACACATGCACATGCAAGCTGAATGCCATAAATGACCCAGTGAACTCTGTGCAGGGTACATGTATTTAATGGATTACTGCATTCATAACCTGGCCAGTCATTAAATGTTTCATCTGTTCTGTACACATATTTAAATATTTCACTAATCCGTTCAATTTTTTGCTTATCATCTTGTAAATATCTTATTTTGTATAACATGTAATTGTCTTCTATATCACTTAGGTGGAACCGGACGTTAAATAAAACCATTTCACACACTGATAATCCGCCTAATCCTACTTTGTATTCACCATGGATCACTGCGTTAGTTTTTTTTGTTTTAATGAATTTTGTGACCGTCAGTTTACTGGTATAAGTACGAGCATGGTGATGTGAAAAGAAAAATATGATCGTCTAGTTGATTACCTTAAAGGGACAATAACACTCTTGCTGGCTTGAAAGCTCCAGAAAATAAATAATATCTCTATCTAAGTACTAGATGTTTAAGTGTCCTACCTGTTGTGTAAATTATCCATTAGATCCTATTTTACTTGTCCGGAGGGTTCGAAAATATTTTTAAATCGAAGTTTCATTTGAAAAGGTTTACGTTAGACGTTTCAAACCATTATGTTGAAATTTTCAAAATTTTTAAATAAGGTGTGTTAAGATGAAATTTGTATCATCTATTAATTGAAATATTCTAAAATAGTACAATTTGTTGACCAGAATAAAGATTGGGACATATTATTCAGTTACAACAAGAGTGGTATTGAGCCTTTAAATAAAGGAAGAAGATTTTATCTTTTTATTAAAACATGCCACTGCCCGAAAAAAACACTGATATCATCAAAATCTTTAAAGGGTATATTTATTATGTGGAGTTGCATACAATAATAATACCGGTACTCTTTAAAAAAAAGAAACGCATAGTGACATTTTGTAATCGGTATACCCTCGATTTACAATCACCTTGCTGCAACAGGAACCGTGACTCATCGCTGAACCAAACTGTTCTCCAGCGTTGCTGTGGCCATACCCTGTGTGTCTGAACCCATTGAAGTCGGATTTGGCGGTGTCGGCCTATTTCAAAACAACAGCTCTAACGGGACATCTGGCTTGTAATACGGTTTCACATAGGTGTCTATGGACTGTCTGTTCAGAGATTTGACGCCGTCCAGGAATTTCTGCTGCAGTAGAGGTCGCTCCTGTGAACCATTTCCGCAAATAATGTAACCGAATGTGCCGTTTCAGGGCAAGTGGGGTCACTCATGTTTGGCCTGAGCTTCGGCGGTCACGTGTTGATCTTCGCTATCGGTACCTATCCCAATGGAGAGAAATAGGACCCTGGGAAGCATTCAGCAGTCTGGCTTCATCTGTCTGGTATTCACCAGAATTCACCTGCTTGTAAAGGCCTTAGATTTGCGAAGTTGTTAAACTCATGTGTCTTGGTGCAATCAAGAGAAAGCAAATTTCAGCAAAAAGTATGACCAGTCACAATTATTGAATTAGTGACCCTGTACATTTAAACCCAATAATGAATTTCTTTTATCCTTACATAGTGACTTCAAAAAAAAAAGTAAGATTTATGGAAATAACGATCCCGTTCAAATAAAAAATGATAAGGTACATATAAGAATATTAAGAAATGGACTGTGCATTTCTTTTTTTGAAGAGTAAGCTTAAATTTTAAGTGGGAACTGGCCAATTTCAATTTTTTGCGGCATCACAACCCGACAGCCCTTTGAAAAATTGGAACCACACCATACACATATCTGAGGATTTATGTCCACACAACCAGAATTCAGAAACATGTACATTGCACTTGACAAAATATTTAAAAATCTGTCAACTCTGTTATTAATGTATTATTTCAATTATTACAAAACTACAAAACTAACACCGAAGTTACGGTATGGTAATGAAAGGAAATATTTTTGGACATTCAGTCGCGTGAACTGTTGACGTATAGGGAAGATTATCTGGGGACTCGAACTTAAATCTTATTCTTAGCACCCACACTAATTATGCACTGATCTGATATTGAAAATTATTTGAAAAATCATTACAGGACAGATCCTACATGGGGCGGTCTAACATCCTACTTTGATCCTTAAAAACATCGAGGAGTAATCAGTGCAAAGTCGACAATCTGCGCACCAGCTTTATACATGCACATTACAACCTGTACGAGGGGTGAAGAAATTCAAGAATGCGGCCAACATATAACAATAACATACATTCATACATAATTCTTTCATATTTTCATTTGAGTGAATGTGAATAATTTATTGATCAGCTCATTGAGGAAACCAGCAGGCTACACTTCATATTAAAGTAGCTAAGTCTCTAACTCAATATCATCCAAAATCTTCAACATTGAAAACACGATTTATTTGTCAAATTAAATCAACATTCATGTTGTGATCTTACTGGAAAAGGATGGGCTTTTGATATCCAATATTTAAGACAAAATAAACATTTTACCATTGGTACACGAATCGTGTACCATAATGCACTTCAGCCCCAGTTGTATCAAGAGACTTGAGGGACGAGGCTAGACACATTGCACCAAATCAAACGGCGTATGTAGACTGGAATAACCAGACGCTAGAAATTTGCACTCGCTTGAGACTACTGGCTTATTTCGCCAAACATAACTGATTTGAAATTGGAGTAAAAACGGAAACTATTGAATGTAAATCAGTTTATATACATTCATATTACAGTATTATATGCGTTGCGACCCACTTTTGTCAATTTGTAGGTCCCAAATGTTAGCGATTTAGCTCCTTTAAATAAATGGGTCCTACACTACTGTATAATGTACCCCTGGGCTACAGTAGCCTAGCTGTTGGAATTGATTTGACACTACGTCTTACATATATTGTAGGCAAATCTGTTTGTTTATTTAGAACCTAAAAAAAAAAAAGAAGTGACCTGAACTAGCTGGAGTGTCTGTCGGTGCAGTCATACTACTCATACACTCAAAATGTCAAACAGTAAAACTTGTACCGTATTATTAAACGTATTGCGCATTCTTGCGTACCGCACTGAATTTCAACGGCTGGTGTAAGATGCAAAAGTGTGCCGTATGAATAATTTGCTGATCAGCTATCCCGAGTTCGCTTTCATTATCCAAATATAAAGGAAAAACTAAAAGTTTTATTCATCTTTATCAAAATAATATGCTTTGTAATAAAGTTGCTGAAACTGACAAACATTCAAACAATTATGTCATGTCAAGAGGCCTGTTTGTTCGCACTTTTAGACCAATAATAATACTCGCGAGTTGCCATTTTGTCAATTTATTATTGGTACTGTGACCTGGAAATTGTACGCAGTGGGAAAATTAAATTTAGTATCATAAATTGTTCTCACCTGTTGTGAGCAGACATTTCAATTCGTGTCTTTATTTATATAACTCCTCGGTAGAAAAAAAAAGAAGCCAGGTCGTCTACTGGAAATAAAACGACGAGTTGAACTGAATTCACAAATGAAAATTGACGTTCTCGGATGGCTTCTCTGCAAATTTCGGCCTACATGTTGAGGCCGTCTCAAAGTATATTTTCTCAAAGAGAACACAGATATCACTAGATATGAAAGTCTGTTGAATACTGAAACAATATATCCATTGGTTTGGTTATAAAATGTGAATTTATGGAAAATAAATCCACAAGACATGCAGACAGCAATTTTTGGTCGCCATGATGGATCACAGTTACCTTTTTACTCTCATTCTGGGGAATGTATTCATACACGCCTGTTTCTAATCTTAATGATCTACAAATGTTGTAATTTGTAAATGCAGTTATTGTAATTAAAAACAGTGTATTCTACCAATCACACCCTAATTTAGGTAGTAAGACGCCTAAGCGAGAAAACAAAAAATAACCTAAAAATAGTAGTAGATCTATTTGTTGTGTGCACACTACGCAGTGTGTTGTTCGACTTAAATTTGATTCGGTAATGACAATGTAATAAATCATTTAATTTAACTAATTAAAAAACAGTGTTTTAAAAGTATACCAAACAGCATTTGTATTTATTAATTATCTAGATAAAATAATTGTGTACAGTCAGCAAATAAAATCAAGGGTATAGTAAATCAGTTAGCGGGGTCGATCAGCTAATCAGTATTTCGCTTTCAGGACAGCTGTTTTTTTGTTACATTGTTGCATTTTGTAATAAATCGAAGTTGCATTCATGTCTTGGATCAGGATATTTGATTTATTTGAATTTAATTACAATCTTTTGTTCCCTTCATCAGGTTTAAAATCGATTTTTTTTGATTTTCTATTATTTTTATATTTCTTTCTATTCGCTTACAAAAAAAAGTGGCAGCCGAGCTGATCGAATGTCATAATATTTTTCCCTGAATATGATTTGTAACCAAAATCAATGCTACCGGTCAGAACAGGATTTACAAAGCAGTGCTGCTAATATTAGTAAATAAGTATTTATTCAATACCCATGTTAAGCGGCTTCACAAAATTTCCCAGCAAAGCGTTTATCAACGCGATTATTCCCCTTTAATAGCTTTACACGTTTGCAGAGTGGTTTTATTTTTTATTAAGTCTTAATAAATGAACTACAACAATGGCGGACCCCCCCCCCCACCTTCCCCCAGCAACTATCAGGCAAATGGATAAAATGCACAAAAAGCATTTTTTTTATTATTATTATTTCTAGTCGGCAAAATAAAATGCCCGGAATCCGCCGACTTTTACGTGTTTAATCCATATATATAGTCAATTCAGTACAAATTCGCGGTATTCAATTGAAATAAAATAAAATAAAATCAGCGTATTATTTATTATTACAGCATATTTAATAAACTGATTTTATTTTACTTTCTTTTGATTGATTTCGGCCATCGTTCATTATTGGTTTCATCAATTTTTCTGGAATCGTCATTTCTTTAAATTGACTAGTGGATTAAAATTTAAAACGTTTAAAATCAGCGCCACTGAGTAGTCACTCTGCTTTACGCGTGACATTGTTTCAGGCATTATCATTATTTTGTTTCGACGATTTTTTTCGTTATTTGTTTCGTCAGTTTTTCTTGAAGTTAAAATTCCGGAGGCCGGTGAATGCTGCTGTAAAGTCTAATTGATTTTGTGATTGAAATTGGATTTCATTTGCAAAATCACATATGTTTCACGTAATTTCAATAAATGGCAAAGTAAAAAACCGGTTTGCTAATCTAGGTAATTGGTTTGATCCCTGTGTCGCCCGAGAAAGTCCCGGCGTAGTTTCCCCTATAATTGGTTATTTGAATGACCCGATGGCCTGACGGGGCACATCGGCGAGCCGTTCGTTGAGACAAAAAAAAAAGAACCCGTGGTAGTTGGATTTTAATTGTTGTCAGAACAAAATTATCCTCGTGCACCTTGCATGGCGTGGGTAATGTTTAAAATTCGGCCTTGACAGGTGGAATTCAAATGCTGTCAGGCATGGCGTACGCTTACGTACACCTTCCTTAGACCTGTTTTGCGCAGAAAAGTAGGACGTTAAACCCCATTTCTTTAATGCAAAGTAATATTTCTGTGCATATTTTGACTTTAAAGTTGTGAACACCACCCAGGACAAAGTTGAGTGTGAAATAGCTTTATTTCACGTCCGCTTCCACCGAGTTAATATCGCAGACAGGACAAAGTTGTGTGTGAAATAGCTTTATTTAACGCCCGCTTCCACCGGAAGTTCTCGGTGGATTCTTCAATAAATATAACCAGCGGTTGCCGTGCAAGACACGCCCACATTTTGCAAAGAGCTGTAGGCCTACAGAGAACAAGCTAAAAACAAAAACAACCTGATTTTTCGTACATTAGAGGCTGTAATCCAATAAGTGATGGTCTGAAATGTGCGAGATCTTCGGGATCAGGGGCCATAATCCATCCAGGAAGTTATGGTCTGATATGCCAAATATCGTCAGGAACCGAGATCTTTGGGATAAACATATATTTTAAGTTTAATCAAAATTAGATAAAACAATTGTGACCTTGGGCAGTTTCGGTCGAACTCAACCATCCAGGGGCGGATCCGAGAATTTTTGCAGGAGGGGTTTGCCAGGCTCCTGTTAAGGAAATTTGACAGCTGGCAATGCATGATACCATCATCGTCTCTACGTAGGCATATAAAATATCATAAGTTCCATAATATCATAAAATATTCTCCGCGAATTGGTTATTTCAAATTCAAAATATGAACGATAGATAATCTCCCACCTCGGATTCAATCGGGTTAGAAAGAGGCCCATCAAAAGATTTCAGTGAAGCGTCTGCATAGTGGATGCTGACTATTTTACAAATGTTCAATATTGATCACATCTTTGTAACTAAATGGGAACTGAACCGGAAATAGTAGGCATACTAACTTACAGTTATATGTGTCATATAATTGAACAATCAAATGTAAGAAAGAAGACAATACACAAAGAACCTCGTGCCCGCTTCGTACTTATCGGTGAAGGCGGCTGGGGGAAGGGTTGGGGAGTGGCTGACAATGATAGTGTTGTCAAGTCTATACAGGAGAGAGCCTTCAAAGGCTCCGAGGTCAGTCACTCCGGAAGACGTCCACATTTTTAAGTGGCCGTATATTGTCGTCTTCCCTGTTCGTCCGTGCGTCTGTCCGTCAACAATTTGTTTGTGGACACTCTACAGCTAGGTCACAAAATTTTATCCAATTTTGACGAAACTTGAAATATAGGTCTATTTCCCAATGATATCGGTTCCTTTCGATATTGGCATGTATCGGAGAGTTATTTCATGGATTATGGCCCCTGGTTGTACGAAGAATCACGGTTTGAGTTTGTGGACACTCTAGGGGTCACAATTAGTATCCCAATTTGATGAAACTTAAAATATATCTTTATATCCCAAAGATCTCGACTCCTTTCGAACTTCGTGTACATCACATTTTTAGCTTGTGGATCCTCTAGAGGTCACAATTTTTATCCGATTTTGAAAAACGTTTTAGTATATCACCGTTGCACCGCAATGAAAGTTGAGTTCGAATTTCGGGAAAATCAAAAATAAGCTGCCCGACAGAATGGCCGCTCCTTGTGGCAAATAGTGTAAAAGTATGTAATACGAAGGTTGTGGTCCTTGTTATAAACGGTCACAATTTTTGTCCGATTTTTATGAAACTTAATCCCAAAGGTCTCGTTTCCTTTCGATATTCGTGCATTTCAGACCATCACTTACTGGATTATGACCTCTGTGCGACAAATCACGGTTTGTTTTTTTAGCTTGGTCTCTATCCATCTCTTGCAAAATATTGGCGTATTTTGCATGGCAACCGCTTGTTGAAATATAGCACTGCACGATCCTCAACGGGTTTATAATACACATTGATATACTACACTGCGCGTGGTCTCGTTCATAATACACATTTTTTAGATACATGTATAACATTGCATGATCCCTAACAGGTGTATAATAAACATGTGTATTAAAGGATACTCACACGGCGCGTGGCCTTCGTTTATAACACACATTCCTCGGATATCATAAGACCTGATAAGATCACCACGATTACTCCACGATTGAAACCACGATTTCATTCGTATAGAGCGAATCGTGATAGTGGAAACCTAGCATAAGATCTAATACGCCACGGTCCTCAACAGGTTTATATAATACACATTTCTGGGAGATATTAGCACGGCGCGTGGTCTACGTTTATAATTTCATAATACACATGTTTGATATATAACACTGCACGATCCTCAATGATTTTATAATACACATTTCTAGAATATACTACACGGCGCGTCGTCTACGCAGGGGCGTGCTGGCAGGGAGTTTAGGAGGACGGTGTCCTCCCAGGCCCCCATTAAACAATAAGTCCACCCGTATAAGCGGCCCCCCCCTGGGAGCTCTAATTTTCACGCGGAATCCCCTCAAAAAATTGAGAGTGCGCACGCGAAAAATCATACATACACAACGATTAATAAAATATATTATTCTGACGTGCAAATGTCTGTCACCTTAATAGTCTGGTCGGGATAGAAAATTTGTGGGAAGAAATTCCTACCCAAATGATTTCTTCATTTTCTGAAACAACTATGTCCCTAGTGTTCCAGAAAAATTTTCCCCACCGATCGGAGTTGAGCAAATTTTTTTACACCATATTGAAATTTTGACCCCCTGGGTCAACATAATGAAACTGAAAACCATTTATTACTTCAAAAATATCAATTTTACAGCCTAGAAATGTATTATCAACATATAGGAAAGTGATACCAAGGAATCCAGAAATGGCGTCAAAAATAACGTACGACGTCACCGTGACGCCAGAATACAAAATGGCGGAACTATGACGTCACTTTGATGTCCAAAATTCAAAATGGCGGAGACGTGTTGTGAATAAAGCAACAACAGCAAACAGATAGACAAGAGGAACATTCTGGACATCATAAAATATTCATTCGGATCATCATCAATAAAATCATCAAAATATTCTTCAGTTCTGATTTGTTCTACCCCGTGCCAAATTCATCTTCTAAATCAATGCTGATTTGTTCGCTATTCAGACAACCCTCCCCGTGGCATCCTCCACACGCTTCAACACATTTCAAACCATTCTGAATACAAGAACATGACGAGCATTGGTTTTTCAACGATTTACATTTACACCGGATGAAATTCAGAACGTTGTCTGGTGCTGATGGAAGAATCGTCGCGATGGGAACGTATCTATGCTCTATCACTT